GTTTGGAGAGTCATATTGCCTATGGACAAGAAGAATAAAGCGTTAGGTAAATGGTCACCTCATTGGGAAGGGCCTTTTCGAATATTAAAAGTATTCTCAAACAATGCATACGAAATCGAAGAACTCATGGATGATAAACGTGTCCTAAAGGTTAATGGGAAATATTTAAAGAAATATAAGCCAAGCATGCAGGAGATTCGAATAGTAACAACGTAAACAAGATGTTATAAAAAGCCAAGATGGCAAGATAAAATGCCAAAATGGCGTTGTTCGAATATTACATGTAAGAAACCAAAATTATAGTCAAATAAACATCAAAATCTAGAAATAAGAATTATTTTTCAATCGATTAAAAGTGCTTCGAAATGATTCAAGTTTCTGCTGAGCGAACCGCCTGGCTCCTTCCAAGGTTTCCACTTCTCCTTTAAGTTGTTCTGCAGTCTCCATTTCCGCAAGCCCCTGGTTGAGAAGCTCTTCGAATTGGTTACCAGCAGAATTGGTTTCGAAGGCTAGTTGTTGTTCTTTAGCCTCCTTAACCTTCTGTTGAAGTTCCAGAATCTGCCTTTCCCAAAGAAGGATGGACTCAGCTCGAGCCTTATAATCAGTTTTCGCCTGCTTCAGATGCATAGCTTGATCCTCAGCTTCTTGAGAGAGTTTCGAAGCTTGTTCATAAGCGGCATCCATGGCAAGGCGTTTCTCTTGAACCTTCTTGGCAGCAGATTCGTCTTGGAGAAGGTAACCAGTTACGTTGTCCAGCAAATTCTGAAGATCGAACAAGAGAGTACTAACTGGCAAGGAGCAGGTGGAAAGATTGACCTTTGTGAGCAGCTCCTTCATAGTATAGCAAGCAGTACTATCTTGCTTAAGCACTTCGAATATATCCACATTGAGAATGGTTTTCCTAATTTTATTAAGAAGAACAATTCTTTCATCTGTGGGAAGAGGATAGCTGGTCGAACTTGTGCCAGCCCTAGCAAGTGGGACGTCCCTCTGAGCCAACTTTGCCTTCATGTACCCAATAGGGTCATTTCGTCTCAGAAGTGCCAGTTCCTCGTCAGTCATTCGAGACAGAGAGGATTGAGGGAGTTCCACACATAGGGGAGCCACGTCCATTTCAACCTCTATGGGTTCGTTGGTTGCATTACCATCCCCTTCATTCGTTTCGTGCTCTTGGTCTTCTTCATCCTCATCCAAGTCCACCACTTCGATACCATCCCTTTCACTGCTATTTGCGTTGGACTCCGTCCCAACAGTCGAACCGTCATTGGCATTCTCCTCCTCAGATTCTTCGTCTGCAGATTCTTCGGCTCTTTGCCCAGAATCAGCTTTCTCTTCTTCAGTTTGAGTGTCCTTTGGGTCCTCTTGAAGAGTTTCAAGAGGGGACTTTTGAAGAGAAGCCCTTTGCAAATCCTCTGCAGACGTTTGAAGTGTTGTTTCGTTTATCTCTTTCAGAGGAATGGAGGTACCTTGATCATCCTGCTGTTCAGAAGTTCCAGCCAGAACCGCCATATTGGAGGAACCTTTATTTTGAACCAGGTTGCTGGAATCTCTTTGAGGAGAGGAGTTGAGTGGAGCAGCAGCTCTGGATGGTGAGTTCGAAATAGTGGAAGCTGGATTCAAGATGTTCTGCAAGGAACAACAGAATGTTAAGAAAAAACATTCACCAAGGTAATAAGAAGTTAGTATTGTAAAAATTTTAAAGGTTCAATTTACCTGTGGACTCTCAGAGGAGAGGTTACTAGCTATACGTTCCAACGTTGGGTTGGAGGTCGAAGGTGGATTTTTGGATTTGGGTGAGGGAGCAGCATCCCTGGAATCAAGTCCAGAGACACTAGTTGGAACGGTGCTTTTCGAAATATCTTTCTTTGGCTTCTTCTTCGAAGCAGTATTTAGGTTTCCTCCAGCCTTGGGGTCTTCCCCAGTGGTGCTTGATTTCCGCTTCTTGGGAGTAGTAGGAGGAAGCTTGTTGGTCTGAAAGAATTTTAAACGAAGAGTTAGATGCAAACCATAAAGCATGAGTGAATTCGAAACATCAAGGCTACGTGATTACCGTTGGAATTGGAACACTGGTTGTTGTTGGTATTATTGTTGTTGTTATGGTTGCAGCAATAGTGGTTGTTTCGGGTGGAGTCACTTTGTCAGTAGTTTCGATGGAGGCTTGAGAGGCACTCCCTTCTTTCGACTTCGAGGCAGCTGTCTTTATCCTGATGGCTGAAAATCGAAACAATTAAAGCAAAGGTTAAAGATATGGAAAATAAAAGACATTTGGGATTTTCCCAAGCATTCGCACCTGTGCCTTGATCAGATTTAATTGACATGGCAGAAAGGTCGTATCGAAGGTGTCCTGGGAAATCATGAAGCCAGTATCGAGCCCATGTCACAGTCTCAGATGGCTTTGGTTTCCTTTGAAGATATTTGAACATCTCTTTGCAAGTAAACCACCATGGATATGGGGGAAACCAAGCCAGAGCCAGTTCTGAGGTAGGTAATCTGGGAAATTTAGGTGGATGCATTTCGAATGCCAACCTATACCTATCCTCAGGTGACAGCCCTGAAGGAAGTTTTAACTTAGAAACTTTTTGTTTAAATTTTTCCTTCAAGGTCTCAGCTGCTTGATGCACAGTGGAGTCCAAGCGCGTGGGGTCATAAGTAGTTTCAAAATAATTTTGGAAAGCTTTAATCTCTTTGGCATGAGTAAACATACCTTTCTTTGTTGGTACCTGCACATCGAAGGCATCAATTAGTTTCTGTTGAATTGTAAGTGTATCGAACATATAAGTTTGATAAAACTTGGTCCACCATTCCAGAAATCCTTTAGCCGTGAGATGGGTAGGTTCGAAGGTTATCAGCTCAAATTGGGCAAAGCCTTGATATTGTTCTTGCTGTATTTTGGCTTCCCGTGCCTTGAAAGTTCGTCCAGAAGTGATGGCACTCTCAGTGTGAAATAAAGGTTCAGGAATCAGTTGGCATAAGCCAAACTGCCTCGAAACGAAGTTTGGTTGTTAGGCAAAGAGAAAAATTTGGTTCTTGGCTGGGGTTATTCTTGAAGAAATGAGTCTAGGCAGCAAAAAAGCTCTCCATACATCCTGAATCTCCTTGCTCTTGATAGCTTCTGAGAGAGCCATGGTGAACCAAGAAGGTTCATGAGCCCTCGAAGCAAAAGGCGCCATGCTCTCTTCGAACTTGTGCCTTTTGGAGAATATCATGATGTACTTCGAGAATTGAACTTTGAAGTCATCTTTGTCGTCATTGGGAGTTAATTTTCGAAGCCTAGTGCCTTTGACTATCCTATCATTTATCTCAGAATCTTGCTCATCAATAGTGTTGGCGGTTGATAAGGAGGGTTCGAACATGGCATTTAGCCATAGTTGGAGTAACCAAAAAGGGCCAGCCAATAGAATATTTTTGGAGGTGTGGGATTTGAGGCTCGAAACAGCTGACCTCAGGCTTTCATAGAGGTCAACTAAGAGCAGTTCACTTAGGCACACTTTTCGATTTTCATGCAAGTCCCTAGCTAGAGGAATGAACCTACTAGCTACCTGTAGGGATCTACTGCAGAAAACGTATCTTGACAGCCACAGGGTTAAGAAAGCGATGTGCTCTACGTCAGACACATTGTCCCCCCAGCATGGTAATGACTGATAAATTTGGAAAAACTGGCTAGCTTGACTTCGAAGTCAATTATGCTTGAGTGTTCTTCGTTGTCGGGTATATAAGTTTCTCCCACTGGCGATAGCCCAGTGATGGCCGCTATGTCGAAGAAGGTTGGGGTGATCATTCCACCTGGGAGATGGAAAGTGTTATAGGTACTGTCCTAGAAATAAAGGGACGCGGATAGCAGGGGGTGGCTGTAGGTGAAACCAGGCTTCGATAGCTTAATCAGGTTATAGATGCCTAATTCTTCCCATTGCTGGGATTTCTTAGCTTCTACTTTCGTGAACCAATTTTGATAAGCAATATCAGAGGTGGGGCAAGATCGAAATGGCTTAAAATTACTTTTTACATAATCCAAAACAAAGGGGTCCTTAGGAGGAACAGTTGGGGTTTCTATGGTATTTGAACTAGGAGATTCTACTGCCTTAGGGGCGTCCATTTTGTTAAATAAGGGTTTGAAGCTATAACAAACTGGGAAAATCGTCCTGGTGTCTTTTAATATTTCAAAAACCGTAAGAGGGCCATTTAAAGCTAACCTCTTACCAGCAATGTTGGTAGGAATGAGTACCTGTGACGCATACAGCATTTCTTTTTCTTTTGAAATCATCTGAGGGGCAAGAACGGATTAACCTTGGTGAGTGATGATTTTACTTTCCATGATAGCTCCTGCAGTTTTTCCTTTCTTCTTGGAGACTTTCTTGAGTTGGGATGAAGTAGAAGAAGACATTTTTGAAAGATGTTGAAAGCTTGGATTTTTTTTTTACGAGAGAAGGAGGGTAAAAGGTTTAGAGTGTGAAAAGAAAAGAAAAGAGATTAAGTTGGTGATGTTTTATAATGGGGAAGTTTAAGCATCCACCGAATAAAGGTGTGGTACGTGGAGATCATGGGTTGGTGTGATGAAGAGGTGGCGTAAAGTTAACATGGGTAATAGGCGTGATTTAAAGATAATCATTATTTGTAACTGCACCATGCTGTGAAGTGGCTCCAGGCGGTTAAGAAATCCAAAAGGTGCTATGATTGACGTGACTGGAGTCAAATGCATTAAATGTTACGATGATTCGAAAGTCCCATCAAAATCTTGTGTAGGTGTTTAAAATAGGTATTTCTCAGAGGAATCGAAATACATATTTTAAAGGGGAAATTTGTTGGCTGAAGATTTTGATAATGTTATTAGAAGCCAAATGAATTAAACGTTTTGATTGAAATGAGGTAAAGCGTCATGTTTCGAAGTAGCAGAAGCAGTGTTTCGAATAAGTATGTCAAAGCTTGGAGCTTCGAGTGGCAATTATGGGAACATATCTAAAGAAGTCTCGAAATAACAACAAGGCTGTGTCTGGGAAGAGCGTTCAAAACGGAGAAGTACCAAAGCATTTGAAATTCAAATGGAAGCGGGACTTTCGAAGTTTGAAAGTTATGTGCTGGAGCATTTTGGGACACGTGGAAAGACGAAAGAGGCATTGTCCTGCATGTTCTAAACGTGGCATAATCCTATAGCAAGACCGTTATGGTCGAATTAGTATAAATAGAAGTCTTAGTATTAGGATTTGAGTGTGTCATATCTATTATACAAAATACTCAGTAACATTCAAACTACCACATGGCAAGGGAAACGAATACAAGAGAAATGTATGTATGATAGCACCATGTATTTCTGATTTAATGAAAACCTTTTACCATTTCCAGCACTTTCCTTTATCCTTTTGTCAAATAACATTTACAAGTTTTCTCATTTACAGTCTTTTCACTTCGAAATCTCTTCTTCAAAGTTTTACATTTTAATGTTTTCTTCATATTTCAAGCACTTTATATCTCAGAAAACTGTCATATTTTCCATACCTTTACCTTCAAGTCTTATCCTTCGAACGCATATTTTTACTTAAAGTCATTTAAAGATTTCTTGCATTAAACGCTTTCTTCATATTTCAAACCTTTTACGTTCCAGAAATCCTTTATATTAACTGTTTTGTAAGTCGAAACCATTTACTTCACTTTTATGCAATTTTATATGTCTTTACAATTAGCATTTATTCATGTAACTTAGTTTTCACACACACATTTTGATTATATCTTTAGACTTTTAGAGAGAGAAATCGAAATAAGCCAAACACATATACAATATCAACCATGAATATCTGTTCGATCGTGAGAGTAACCTTAATATCCAAGGAGTCCTAGGATCAATCTAGTCGATCCTGTGAGTTACCAGAGGAATTGAATAACAGTCAGAAAGATTATTCGATAGTTTGGAAGACTAGCGGTTGTTTACCAGAAATCACTGGAAACACGTATAAGCCCTGATTTTATAAGCCTGAACACCGATGTTAGATTGGTTTTCAACCCAAAAGCTAAAGATCGAATGTTTGTTCTTTGACTGAAAGGAAGTTCACGAATTTGATTCTCATCAATTGAAATTCTCTTACATCCACAATTTTTTATCTTCCTATGAGAGACATCACGCGTTTCACTTTCTTTTGCTCTTTTCCAAATACGTTGAACAGTTCTTATAGGAACCGAATTTGATGAAGCCACCTCATTTGTAGCTCCTTTACGTAATTGTCCATCAACGCTTTTTTGTAGTAGCTCATGATAAATAGACATGCGTTCTTCATTGCTTAAGACTCTTAATTTCTTTCTTTCTCTAGATTCTGCTTCAAAATTTTCTGCAACATACACTATAATTTTTTTTAAAAAAATAACAAAATTACTAGAAACAACCACATAAAAAATAAACACACATGAAATATCACTGTGAATTTAAGTATAGAAACCACCACATAAAAAACAAACACACATGAAATAAAAAATATACCAATGTCATTGTTTCCTTCAACCTCCTCTTGTAAATTATCTTCATAGGACTCATCAATGTCATTAGTTGCTTCAACCTCCTCTAAAGCCATATTTGATGAGATGTAAATATTTTGAACTTATAATATGAAACCATATTATATATAGTACTCCGTTTATTATTGGTTCAACCTCATCATTGGTTTTAATTTTATGGTGGGAAACTTACGTTTTTATTAAAATAATTGGAGGGAATAAGTATTTTTACGGTGGGAAACTTAAGTTTTCCTTTAGCCATTCATTGAAACAATAAGCAATAAATATTTTTATAGTAAAAGTAAATATTTAATGAAACAGCAGTACATATTCTTATAGCATGCAAGATTAATTCCAAAAATTTAGGAGTAGTTACGGAAGAGAGAGAGTTGTGTGCCCCAAAATATGGAATTAATTATTTGAATTAAATAATTTAATGAGTTTTATTTGGAAAGAGAATGAGGGTAGAATGGGAAAAAAATTATAGTAATTCATGTATCTTGGTTGGAGAGCTTTTGGCTAAAACGTCAATTAAAAAGGAACGGAGGGAGTAATATTTTTCAATATCTGAATTATGTTACCTTCAATGAAGGAATTTTGTTTCCACATCTCGTTTGCGTATCTATTTTAAAGATAGTCATCGAATAAAAATAAGCAAAAGATAAACATGTACCCAAGTGAATAAGAAATTTAACATAAGAAACCATTTCATGTTCATACACACCCGTTTGCACACATGCATTCACAAACAACTGCATATCATATCAAAACTCATTTTTCAAAAAAATCTCTCCAATTGAACCATTGATAGAAGGAGGTCTCCACCTCCTTGGCTTCCATATCAAACAAGGGCCTATCAACAAGAAAGCAATGGAGAAAATCGAGGAAGCTCAGGCTATATCCAAAGAGGATCTCGACTAAGTAAAGGGTGATGTCACTTCAATGAAAGGAGATTTGATCAAGTTCTCCTAGCTTTGAAGAACATTATTGACAGGAAAGACCAGATTCCCAGGGAAGCTTTCGAAGAAGTAGCCCAGACTATTGATGCATCAAGTGGTCACCAACTAAGGAAAGAGTCATAGTCAAGACTCCAGAAGTCCGTCATGGCCCAACAAGAAGCTGAAACTGAAGGGTTTGTCCCACCTCCGCCAAAAGTGGGGGCATATCATACCATACAGATTCCAACCAATAATACAGAAAACTAATTGGATCTGCAATACGGAGACCACGACCCAGAGGATGCCAACCGAGCACCCTTAAAGATGACTGGTACTTATGTTGTTGATGACCCACTGGTGATGAATCAGTACAAAGCTCTGGAAGAAAGATTAAAAGCTGTGGAGGGTTTTGACGCTTTCGAAGTAGACCCTCTTGAAATGGGCCTAGTTCCTGGTGTGGTGATTCCACCAAAGTTCAAAGTACCTGACTTTGAAAAATACAAGGGGCTCACTTGTCCAAGAAATTATCTTTGTATGTATTACAGGAAGATGCATGCCCATGCCCACGATCAGAAGCTGATGATTCACTATTTTCAAGATAGCCCGAGTGGGACATCTTCAGACTGGTATATGCAATTGGAGAGAATGCATATTCGAACCTGGGAAGATCTTGCTAATGCTTTTCTAAAGCATTACAAATATAACCTGGACATGGCGCCTACCCACATGCAACTCTAAAATTTGTCCCAGAAGAAAGAAGAGTCCTTCAAGGAGTATGCTCAAAGATGGAGGGAGTTGGTATCCCGTGTGCAACCATCACTATTAGAGAAGGAGTTGGTAGACACGTTCATGGGAACTTTGCACGGGCTGTATTATGAGATGTTGGTTGGAAGTATCTCTTCGGGGTTCTCAGACCTAGTAACCATCAGAGAAAGAATCGAGACTGGGATAAAAAGTGGGAAGATATCATGGGGACCATCAAACGCTCCCTACAATTCAAAGAGGCCTGCTTCAAACCTCCCCCAAGGAAAAGAGGGAGAAATTAATGTTGCAGCGTCACAACCCAGGGTACAACAATCATTAGTGGTCCCACTAGAGCAGTAGCAAGGCAAAAGGCCACCCAAGAAATTTGATCCACTCCCTATGCCACCTAGCCAGTTATTGCAACGGCTAGTTAAGGCATCCTTAGTGGAACTCAAGCCTCTAGCTCCTCCATTCGGGCCACTCCCACGAAGATACGATGCCAACGCCATATGTGAATATCATGCTAATTCTCTTGGACATACCATAGAGCAGTGTTGGCCATTCAAACACAAGGTGCATGATTTATTTTAATCCCAAGACATCACCTTCGAGAAGCCCAACATCAAATCAGACCTTACGCCTTCGCACAATGAGTTGACAATAAATGCAATTGAAGTAGTCACTGACTCTGGGGCAATAAGACAAGCAAAAACCCCGTTAAACTCGCTGAAAGAATATTTGTGGGGATGTGGACTCCCGCTAGAACACAATGAAGCTTTCGAAAGAGCTCTACAAAGGCTAGTGGACCAGGGGATAGTCCAGTTCGAACAATGCCCTAAAGAAAAATATAAAGCTACTCTGAAGGGAGAAGCAAATTTTCCTCCAATCCAAGAGACCTTTGTCAATAATGGAGTAGTGCACGGAAGACATGTGGCGAAAATATCCAACAAGGCCAACACCAAAGGGGAAACTGGATTCATCCGAGAATGTGCCCTAGGATAAAAACTCAAAAGATGGACGGTCGTGGAGATTCCTGATATCTTTTTCTTTCCTAATTAATTTTTCTTGTTTTTTAAAGAACCTATGTCAAGCCCGAGGCATAGGGGTTGCTTGTAAGGGTTTCCCTGTTTTGTTTCAGACAATATTTACGATTAATAAAAGTTATATTTTGTTTTCAATTAAGATCCCTTTCTTTCTCTTGCATTTATATCTTAAATTTAAAAATGGCAATACTTTCTCTGCATATGCATTTTCAAATCTCATATACTAAATTTGCACCAAAACATTATAAGTGTGCAAATTCATTCCAAAATCCAACAAATAATGCTAGTGCTGCGATCCGATATAATTTTGATGCTCCCATCAACCAAGTCGAATAGGAAAGTGATGAAGATCTTGAACTCTCTGAGAAAATGGTGAGGGAAATAGAGCAAAAGGCTGACAACTTACAACCGTATCAAGAGGCTATTAAGGCCTTTAATCTAGGTACAAAGGAAGAAATCAAGCTAAGGGGCAATGGTAGAGCGGAGCCACAAAGAAGCTGATCAAATTATTGCACGCATTCGCTTGTTCCTACAAAAACAGGCCAAGATTAAATACAGACAGTGTTGTAAAAATAAGCAACTATGAAATACCAGGACCTACGAATAACCCGAGCCAGGGACACGTTGGACATTCACGTTCAACGGGGCTTTAAATACACTGGGGCGCGATATAGGGGAAGTTGTGACTTCTCCAAATAATTCTCACAAGCCATATGCCAAGTCAAAAGCGAATGGGATACTAAATATCCAAAACTGATTCCATATTGGGATCATGTTTTAATACTGACTGCGGAATTCACAAAGATCATTTTTAGGCACATCCCACGCGAAGAAAATCAATTGGCAGACGCTCTGGCAACTATATCATCTATGTTGAAAGTAACTTGGTCAAACCACGAACCATGCATCAAGAGCCCTCACATTTTCTTACTATCAAAGAAAGACCGGACGACAAGCCTTGGTTTTATGACATCAAGAAATACCTGGAAAAACAACAACATCCAGAAGATGGCTCTATCATTGACAAACAAACTCTACAGAAATTAGCCTCGGAATTCTTTCAGAGTAACAATGTACTGTACAAGATGAACCACAACATGGTCTAGTACTCAAGAAGATTCTGCTACCTTGCCTTAACTCACCTGGTAAATGGACACCCAACTACGAAGATCCATGCGTAGTCAAAACAACATTCTCCGGTGGGGGTCTCATCCTTGCAATAATGGATGGGGAAGAACTACCGCATCCGGAAAACTCGGACGCAGTCAAAAAATACTATGTATAAAAAGCTCGCTAAGCTCGAACCCTAAAAGGGCGACTTAGGCAAAAAGGATCGTCCCAGTGGATCGAAAACCCTAAAGGGAGATCCAGGAAAAAAATTAGAGGAATATAACAAAAAAACTATCCCGATGGATTGAAAACCCGAAAGGGCAATCCAGGCAAAAATTAGGGATCATTCAAAAAGAAATAAAGAACAAAAATACTGCGATCTGAGAACTACGACTACGAACCACGAAGAGAGAGATGGATCTAAATCATACGACTCAGAAGCAAAGGAGATAAGAGCTATTAAAAGGATATTGGGGAACAACAACAACAATTATCATTTTGCATTGCCATTTACAGTTTCAAAAATTTCTGTAATTACCTCTTTCTAGGAATTCCATCCTGTACATTTGCCTATTCAGAGGCATAATCCATAAAACATTCACTTTTCTTTTCACCTTTCAAATTGTATTTTTCTTTTCTTAGACTTGTTTGCAAAATACTACAATTATTGTTTGTGAATATTATCGTGAAATCATTTCGGTGAAATTAACAAATAAAAGCATTTGACAAAACATCGAAAAAACATTTTGGTTAGAAAAATATCGAAAGAAAATCCATGTCCACGTCCACGCACATGTCTACTCTTGCGTCTACAATACAAAATCTATACATATCTGTTAGAACATAGTTTGATTCTACAACCCTTAATTAGAGTTTTGATGATAACAAACACAAAGAACAAATATTCACTCTAAATTTGTGTTATTTTGTATGCAAAAGTTCTGACTGAAACAACATCAAAAATTAAGCTACAAAAGCTTTCAAGCTGAGGTAATCAGAATCTGCGCTGAAGAATGATGATCAGACTCTACACTGAAGTGAAGAATACTCTGATTCTGAACAGAACTTCAATATACCATCAGACCCTTACATCTCTGAGTCATCAATGTTCTGAAGCAATTACAGCATGCAAGATTCTAAGTTCTAAAGTGTTACTTTTCATTCAAGACAACATCATATGCAACGACTTCATTCAGACAAGAATCTTCTCAATATGGAAACAACATTGAATGTCCATTATCA